CTGTCATTTTTTTATTTTTTTCTCTTTTTTCCAATATTGTGCAATATTATATATTTAATTTCCACAGTATTTCGGTGGAGCGTCGCGCGGTGCGCTTACTGAGCAGACGTTACACTCTGACGGCCACGGGTTACAAATTTCTGGAAATTGGAATCAACGTTGGTCCACCGAGCTACGTGGAGATCGCTGTGGGAGATCATCGGGGACAGGAATTGATACTGTCTCTCGAAACGTGGAAGGGACTCTACGAGCAACGATGAAATATCTATAAATTGCTGCGAAACGATTACAAAGACAATTTTATACCAATTTGACCGTTAACCGTCAGAGTTTATCTGATGAACGACGTTACACTCGTACGTCTTGAATCTTTGAACGTACGCGTAACGATGATCGAATCGACCCTGCGCTGTATGTTTGATCTGGACGAATCGACTGTATCGATGTGACGTTCGATCGACTCGTCAGATTCGTCGATACGATCGATACTAAGTATACGCGATTCTCCAATATCGCATCTGTTGTAACAGATCCCGAGGAAGTGCCGAACGCGATACACGATTGCGATAGACGTCAACTCGTCGATTGCGAGCTGTTAGCTTTAGTTTTTAGTGTATAAGAAAAAACATGTGAATAAAAAAATTTACACACTTAAAAATAGTATTCAATTGTTTAAAAATATAAACATATATAATATGCAAAAACAATGTATTTCTTTCATTCTTTTCCCCCAACCCATAAAATAAATTAGAAAAATAAATATTCTCCATAAGAGAGAGAGCCGCAACGGAAGAGATAATACGAGAGAGATATTATTTTTACTCGGCGGCGGCGGCGGGACCCCCCCCACCCCTCTCTGACGTCATGTCCACGCGTCCAATTCGTTATTTATCTTTTGGTAATTATTTATCACGGTGCTCTGAAGGCATCAATCGTCGACGCTGTTTACATTCAATGGGTCGCCCAACACGCGCCGTCCCCCTCCCCCCTCCCCGGAGCTCCTCGGTTGCGCACAGTTCCCCCGCACACCCGCACCCCCTCAACGCTTCTGGGTTAGAACCCGCCTTATATTCC